ATGCCATAACTGAGGATGTATTGATACTGTTATGTGAATGTAAGTATTGATACTGTTGTGTGAATTTATCCTGTTCTGAGGACTGAGTTAAAGAAAAATATTTACAGTACTTAATTCAATTTGAATACCAAAAGTGAATGTTTAAATTGGTGTTTTCATTCATAAGGTAATTTTAATTAGATACTATGTTATAAGAGTAATCTGAGTTTGCATTCAAGTAATGGGTTCCATTTATAAAGCACTAAGTCTTGCACTAAGAACCAGTAATACTTTATGGTTTAATATGTTGATTTTGTCTTGAGTTACAGGATGCTGTGTTTACTCAAATATTTCATTTTACTGAGTTACATACAGTAGGAGGTAATTCCTTCAAGAAAAGGGGAAATGTTGTGTCCTGTTACTGTAGCCAGAGGGCGCTGTTGGACAGAGAGCTGAGACAGGATGCCTGAAGGTGGAAGTTGGATGAAGAAGAATAAAGATGTAGTAAAGGACAGCACACGTGCCTACGGCTCATACTTTCTACCTACTTGACGCAGAATGACCCGCTCTGAATCAGTCCAGAACCAACAGCAGAATGACCCGCTCTGAATCAGTCCAGAACCAACAGCAGAATGACCCGCTCTGAATCAGTCCAGAACCAACAGCAGAATGACCCGCTCTGAATCAGTCCAGAACCAACAGCAGAATGACCCGCTCTGAATCAGTCCAGAACCAACAGCAGAATGACCCGCTCTGAATCAGTCCAGAACCAACAGCAGAATGACCTGCTCTGAATCAGGCCAGAACCAACAGGCAGAATGACCCGCTCTGAATCAGTCCAGAACCAACAGCAGAATGACCTGCTCTGAATCAGTCCAGAACCAACAGCAGAATGACCCGCTCTGAATCAGTCCAGAACCAACAGCAGAATGACCCGCTCTGAATCAGTCCAGAACCAACAGGCAGAGTGACCCGCTCTGAATCAGTCCAGAACCAACAGGCAGAATGACCCGCTCTGAATCAGTCCAGAACCAACAGGCAGAATGACCCGCTCTGAATCAGTCCAGAACCAACAGGCAGTGACCCGCTCTGACTCAGTCCAGAACCAACAGGCAGTGACCCGCTCTGACTCAGTCCAGAACCAACAGGCAGAGTGACCCGCTCTGAATCAGTCCAGAACCAACAGGCAGAATGACCCGCTCTGAATCAGTCCAGAACCAAACAGGCAGAATGACCCGCTCTGAATCAGTCCAGAACCAACAGGCAGTGACCCGCTCTGAATCAGTCCAGAACCAACAGGCAGAGTGACCCGCTCTGAATCAGTCCAGAACCAACAGGCAGTGACCCGCTCTGAATCAGTCCAGAACCAACAGGCAGAGTGACCCGCTCTGAATCAGGCCGTGTCGCTGCGGCTCAGAGACACACATGTTTATGTATTTAAAAACACTTACGTTAGCACTATGTCAGGTTTTTGGTGGATTTAATCAAGTCTTGGATTGCAGAGTATGAATGTCCTCTTGCTATTTTCATACGATAAATACGTGTGTAAAGTTTGTGAAGGCAGGCATCACCGTCTCCTCTCTGTTCCTCCAAACTCCCCCCCTGAAAATAATGAGTGACAGGCTGATAGTAACCTGATAGAAACTTTATTATTCACCTAATCACTGATTGAGATATGATGAAGCTAACTTAATCTCATACATTCAGGGGATTTATGTAACAGTAAGACAGAGAATGTAAGTGTGCACCCACATGCACTATTTTAGTTTTTATATGCTGTTGTAAATACTCCTGTTGTCTGCTGTGTTCAGACGCATGTCATGTTAGGCCTCCTTCACACGGGAACGTTTGCGTTTATGCACAGTATGCGTATTCAAAAAAGTATTCCGTTCACATGCATTCGTTTCATTTAACGTGTCTGTTCAAACGAGGCCGCTGGAAACGCTGTAGTACATATGCCGGGACTGTAAGTGGCGCTGTAACTTCCGCCAAAATACACCAAAAGCAGCGAAGAAGAGCAGCCCCGCAGCAATGTTGCCATGGCTACCCTTCTGTTTAAGCCCCGCGGTGTATTTAGCAACATGTAGTTCATGTAATTCTCCATGTCCACTTGTTGCTGATGGTTGTGGTAGAGGAGCTGTAGATTTTGCACTAATATCTGTAGCATGGTCAGTAGCAGTAGCACTAGCAGTAGCTACTGACAGGAGGAAGTGTGTGTGGCGATTGCTGGTATTCAGCGGGATATAGTCATTTCCTCAGCATGTAAATATATGGATAAATGCTACGGGGAAGTTAACTGAAAGAAACCAAATCTGTGGATATTGCATCGACCGACCAAGAAGCACGTCTCTGTGGAGAGGACGCGCTCAGAAAGAGAGATATTCTCTACAAACACCGGGTGAGATCCTCCTTTGTCAATATAATGGATCAATGCATGAAATCTGACTCTGTTTATTTTGTTTAAGGAGTATATTGGGCGTTAACTATTCTGGTTTGCCTTTTATAATATTATTTCATTCAAGAACCCCTTGTGCGTTTAATTAACACAGCTATTTTTGATAGTTGCTACAGCAGTGAGCAGGAGAGGTGGGGCTATCGCTATTTTTTCAGGAAATATTCGTATAGAGGTGATTACACGGACTCGGTTGACCCCCCAGAGCGTTTCGTTTGCAAATCTATCCACCTTGGGACCCGTTATCGTTTGTGGGGTCAGTTTCTATCGGCCTCGTGTAAATAATAGGGCTATACGCACGCGAAACTATGCAGATACAAGCAGTTTTCTCCTCATGTAAACGGCGCCTTAGTGATGCCACATTCAGGACATTCAGTGTCCTTTTTCTTTTACAGAAGACCGTAGCTAGAAGCTGCAGCTAGACTGCAGAAGCATTCGTTTTTTGTTTTTGAGGATGGAACAATTTCACACAGATATAGGGAGGCTAGACCTATATATTGATTTATTGTAGTTTACAATTTAATGTCAAGACGAAGAAAAAGATGGCTGAACTGTTCAGTGTCAATCCTGTGGAGATGGAGATGGAGATGGAGGTTATAAATCTCCCAAATCATGTTCAGCTTAAGTCTCAGCAAAACTCACAACATTTCTGGAGCCTTGTAGACCCAGAAAACTATAAGAACATCACCAAGCAGCACTGAACATGTCTGCTTTATTTGGCTCTACTTTGTGAAGCAGCTTTTTCTGACATGAATGTCATGAAATCTAAATACAGAACGAGACTGAGTGATGAACATTTAAATGACTCTATTAGAGTGAACCTAAGTGGGTACACTCCAGCATACACCTCTATGGTGGACTCCATGCAGCGCCAGTCCTCTCACTAACTGTGAAAAAGAGTGAATGCACTTATTTTACACATGTGCCATAAGATGCTTGTAAGGTGGTGATTAAGGTGATGCACTTACTATGTGGGCCATAATAAGAAGTGAAATAATTGTCTTTTTCTCTTGCACATTTATGTGAATGTTCAGTGATGTACTTACTATGTGGGCCATAATAATATGTGAGAAATTGTCGTTTTCTTGGACCTTGATGTGAAGTTAAGATTTTTGATAAGCTTTGGGTATTGCAATTTCATACGTGTACAAAAGTAGCTTAATTCAACCGATGAGTGCTATATGAATACATGTAAGCGATGTGATGCAAGTAGCTCTTGGCCACTTTCATTTTTTCAAAGTAGCTCTCAGATGAAGAAAGTTTGGAGACCCCTGGTGTACACAGATCCTCCTCCTTTGGGGGCTTTCCGGACCCGATACAATACTGAGTGCCAAACATCTTGAATTTTGTAGCGGCCACACACTCCAACATTCCTAAAATACACAATTTGTCCTTTGTGTAGGGGAGCATCCTTCACTTTGTGGTCATGGTGTGCTTTTCGACGGCTGGCAGCAGCTTGCATGTGCCTGGTAGCTTCTTCAAATGCCACCTGGAGCCTAGTCTGGTGCTCCACAATCCATTCGTGGGTACTGCCCTCTACTGAAGCTTGGTTCTTCCCTAGGAGGAAGTCAACAGGTAAGAGGGGATCTTGTCCAAACATCAAAAAGAAAGGTGATTCACCAGTAGATTGATGTGCTGTTGTGTTGTATGAAAAGGTGAGTTGGGGCAGATCGGAGAACAAATCCCTTTTCTTAGTGGTGGGCAGGGTGCGCAGGAGGTTATGTAGGGTACGATTGAATCGTTCACATTGGCCATTTCCAGCAGGGTGGTATGGGGTAGTTAGGGACTTTACAATGCCATACAAACTACACAGCTGTTGGATCCTGCTATTGGCACTTTCAACCTTTTTCTCCTGATCTGAGTGGATACGACTGGGGACACCACATTTGCAGAACCACTCATTTACCAATACTTTAGCCACAGTGGATGCTCGCTGATGGTGGACATGTCACCCATTGAGCCTGTCAGGGATGCTCTGGATCGGCGTATACGACAGCGTGTTCCAGTTCCTGCCAACATCCAGCAACTTCGCATTGAAGAGGAGTGGACCAATTTCCACAGACCACAAAACACAACCTGATCAACTCTCTGTGAAGGAGATGTGTTGCACTGCGTGAGGCTAATGGTGATCACACCATGATACTGACTGGTTTTCTGACCCCCCCCCCCCCCCTCGTTCCTAGAGTAATAAATGTATCTTTTCAAGGTAAAAGTGCACATTTTAGACTGGCCTTTTACTGTGAGCAGCCTAAGGCACACCTGTGCAATAAACATGCAGTCTGATCAGCATCTTGATATGCCTCACCTGTGAGGTGGATGGAGAAGTGCTCACTAACACAGATTTAGACACACAGATTTAGACACATTTGTAAAAACATATTTGAGAGAACTAGGCCTTTTGTGTACGGAGAAAAAGTCTTAGACCTTTGATTTCAGCTCATGAAAAACTGGAACAAAAACTAAAGTGTTGGGTTTATATATATATATATATATCTGACCTATAGAGACTACATCATATATATCTACTACATTAACAGGAACATTTTTTAAATATTGTATCTTCAGCTACTGGTTTTTGAGGTTTTTATTATGAACAAAAAATAAGTTTAATAAATAGAAGTATTTTCGAAAAAGTGTGCCTATGTATTCACAACATAGGCACTTACAAAAATGATCTTTTCCAGAGTTTCCTTTTCATCATATACCAGTTGAAAGATATTTGACAAAGCAAACTAATCTGTTTGAATTGGCAGTTGTTAAATGCAAAGCCGTTTACAGACAGAACAGAGGGGGGAAAGCTGTGGTTACAGTACTGCGTTCTCTTAATTAGGCGTATGAAAAGATAACCGTGAAAGTCTTGTGCTATTGAACATCCAAAATATGTCAATAGGACACCAGGCGAATATACATTTTAGAAGATAAAACAGATGTGTAAACTGTCTACATTAAAACATGACAGAATGGAATGACAGAATGTGCAAAAAAGAGAGCTAAAGCAACATGTATTTGACAATCCTCCATGTCTCCTTTAACACAGAGCATTCATATCACTCAAGCTGCCTTTACAGGGAGTGATCCTCATCTCATCCATGTACCCCGACTCAGCCCACTGACTGGGGGCATCCCAGGAGGCAGCCGGGGGGCTAGCTGATTGTGTCCAGCAGTTGTTGGTGGGGGGGGGTACCCACTATTTAAAATAGGTGCCATCCCAATGACTGAGGGAGGAGGAGCCAGCAGGTAGCTATAGGCTGAGAGTGGGGGGGTGTGGAAGGGGGTGGTGCCAGGGGGGAAGTGGTGGAAGCCCAGTGGTGGAGCACAGGCCGGGGGGGCAGTGGTGTAACAGGAGGCCTCTGTCCTCATCATGGACTGGAGCTTCTGATAGCCTTCACTGGACACCAGGGAGCTGGAGGTGGGGAGGTCCATGGGAGGAGGAGGTGGTGGAGGTGGGCAATGGGGTAAAGGTGGGGGGGGTGGTCTGGATGAGAGATCTGAGGCTGGTGGATAGGAGGAAGGGGGTTTATGGTCTGTAAAAGAGAAAAGACATGAAGTGAATGTCAATACATACAAATGGTTTGTACAATGCGTGGAGGAGTGACCTTTGGTAGCACAATGCAAGACCAAAAGGGAGGAGCCACATGAGTAAAGTAATACAGGGTGGCTGTGGAGAAACAACCAGAGAGGAGACGGAGCGGAATCACAAATAACAAGATACAACTTCAGTTATTATCAGAATCAAAATCAGAATTCCTTAATGAATCCGCACCGGGAAAATGCACAGCGTTACAGCAAGAGTGGCAGAGCAGTAAGAAAGGCAAGCAATAGAAAAAGTAAGCTTACTTGTTAAATATAGAGAAGAGACTCACAGTATCAAAATTACAAAGTTAAGACAAATAAGTACACAACCATGGCTTAAAATTAGTAGCAGCAGTTTAAAAACAAACAACTAAGTGACATAAGTAACACATTAAGGTATGTTAAGATTCTTCAAATAATAATTGAAAAAATCCAAATGAAAAATAATAATGATAATAATTACAAAATAATGAACTTTCCCTTGTAACTAATAATGTTTTCTTATACAGTAATTGGTAAAATAATAATAATGCTGTTACTTTTGAGTCGAGTTAAATGTTACTTAAAAAAGGCAGCTCTCTATTTTCCTCATCCTCACACATGGTGAAGTGTGAAGCCGTTTTACTGTCACAAGAATACAAAAGACCCCCTTTATTACCATGAAAGAGTAGGAAGAATAAACAGGGATATGGTTGCAAAATGTTAATACTGTGGTGAACCTCTTATTTCATGCAATTGATTCCAGTTTGAAAACTAATGGTGTCAAAGGAGGATAAGAGCAGAAGACACTGACCTGGGTTTATGGAGACTGGAGGAGGCGGGGGGGGCGGAGGTGGAGGAGGTTCTAGATTTGACAGCTCTGGAAAACAAAAGGTGTCGATAAAGAAAAACAATGTAAAAATGAAAATGGATGGAGCTCAGGGTTAGGTCTGGGTTTGTACTCACGGCTGGGCTTGCTGTCATCTTTTGGCGAGGGCTAAAATACAAAAATACAGTCTCAGTCTGAGTCAGAAAAACATGTTGGGCATAAAATGAGATGTAACACACCCACTCACCTGGGCTGGTCTTGGTAATCGGGGGCTGGTCTGAGGGGAGGCCTTCTTGGCCTGCGGTGGGGCAGGGGGGGATAGGAGGGAAAGCTGGGGGGGGGTTCCAGCTGTCCCTATCCCTCCATCCGGAATCTTCTGCTTGGCCTGAGAATACAGGTCCAGGATCTGGTGACAGATATCTTTGTGATGGAGGACAGCATGAGAGATCAGTGGAGGGAAACGGATTATTAATATATATGTTTGATGTACTGTGGATAGTGTGATAGATCTCCTCACCTTCAAGCACCTCAACAGGCACATCGTGGACAAATTGCTCCCACCAGCGCCGGGACAACTGCTTGGAAGTCCAGTCCTGGATGTCAAACTTAGAGAGGCGTCCAGCCAGATACATAACGGCCACGGCGATGATCTGCGGCTCCCACTGCAGGGCCACCATGGTGCACAGGCTGGGGGCCGCATGAAGAGTATTCATGACTGCCTAGTATTGATTGATTTATGGCGGGCCACCATAATAAATTAATTGACAGTCACATATTGATTTTCTATTTCTTCTTTCAATTAAAATGGTAAGTCATTGTAGAGCTGTGAGCAGCACGTTGATTGGCTGAGGCCCCGCAATGTATCTTACAAACATATGACAATATCTGTTGAGACCAGCCCTCCTCTCCATGCGCTCTCTTAATCAGAGCATGATCATGTGATGGAGGAAGGAGGAAGAGGCCCCTCTTTTCAAATAAGTCATCAGAAAGGAGCGTAGCTAGTTAGGATCGATTAAAGGTTAGAGTCAAAGTTAGGTGTCTTACAATGCTACCTGATTCTTAGATGTGCTAAATATCGAGGCTTTTTCACAGCTGCAGAATGAATCCATTTTTAAATGGCAATTCGTTTTTTGCTGTGTTTTCACCTATCACCATCAAATCTATAGAACCATTGTTTTCATATTTAAATTGTTTACTAGAGTACAACATTGTTTGTGTGAGCACCTTTTTTTTAGGGCTTTTCCCCTTTAATGAAACGAATTAGAAACAGTATACTGTAGGTTGTGTTACAGGTGAAGAACACATGTCATGTATTGAATGAGTTTGTGTCCTCATGGTTAACTGCACGTATTGTACATTGCTTTGGTTAAATGAAGTGTTATGTTTATCTGGCCTCCTACTTTGGTTCTTGCACCAGATTTATGCATTTAACTTTATATTGTAGTCTATAGAATATAGATTTTTGTATATTGCAATATACAGTATGGTATATTGCAATATACAGTATGGTATATTGCAATATACAGTATGGTATATTGCAATATACAGTATGGTATATTGCAATATAGCACAACATGGAAGTTACAGCGCTCTTTTATTAAGATGTTAAAATGCAAAAAAACACTATGATGCTAAAATAAATGAATAAACATGATAAATAAGTTCAATATTGATTAAACATAATTGTGTTAATCATTGTGGCCTGCTTCCATAGCCTTGAAACAGGAATTATATAATAAATATTGAAACAAATATCTGTACCTTTGTCAACCTATTATTCCTTATTCAGACAGTCACCGCCTGTGGGCTCACCTGTCGTTCACAAAGGTCCAGGCCATCTGAACCAGCTTCTGCACCTTGTTTTTGTCCCCTGAACAACACAGGAATTATTAACATCAGCTTCTTACAACCCCCCCCGGACACCCCATCAGGCACTTCCTCAATGACTGACTTTTTTCTAACCACACACACTACAGTCAAGTTCTCATTTCAATTTCTGGTCCAACTACTCTTCTCAATATATTTGTCTTTATTTAGTCTTTGCGAGAAACCCCTACAGAGGCAAAGGGAAACAGAGGTACCTTTCAGCTGCTTGGCATAGCGCAGCAGGAACTGGTAGGGGTGCTCCACCTGCAGGTCGAACTTGATGGTCTGCAGCAGAATGCGCTCCAACACCATCACCTCCTCCTGTTAGAAAATGATTCTTCCTTAAGAAAATGGTGAAACACTTTATAAGAAATCCAGCACTCAAAGGATAAGAAGAGTTACATTCTGCAGGTTGTCAGCCAAAACGTAGAATGAGGAAGAACAGGTCTGTAGTGTGAAAGCTTGAAATGCATGTTTTCACTAAATGCAGACAGGGGTGCCTGTTTCCCCAAAGCACTGCAAGTCAAATAATATCAAACTCATTCTAAAACCTGCTGACCAAGCTGTTTTTAAGGTTTATAGCACTTTGACCTTTTGTGATTTCATCGTGACTACTGACTATTTATGTAAATATCCAAGGACTTTAAACTTTAGACTGCTGGTTTACAAATCCACTCTTGTGCACAAGAGATGTATCTTCCTCAAATTTGTGTTTGGTTGTTTTTCATTTTTTTCCAAATATTGTTTACATTGGGGTAGAAAGAGGGGAATAATATAATCTAACTTTATTGGCTGGAATCTGACACCATGTTACAGATTATAGATTTACTATATTAACTCACGTTAATTAATGTTTATAAATGATCCTCAAATAATAGAACCAAGAAGGAAACCTCATGCAAGAACATACTTTTTGTTTTAATGTTACTTAAATAAACTGGTCATGTTTTGTTGTGTACGTGTATCCTTATTCCACATAGACCAAGGCTGCACACACAGTTAGTGTAAATGAACTAGTTGCGCCAACAAAACGTTTCCAGCACCATGGACAGTGACATTAAGACATTAAGACATTAAGACACTGATGGATGGATGTACTTATTTAAGATTTGTCCAATTTGACTAACAAAATACTGTCCACCTCTAAGTTGAAAGGTTTGAGCAAAACAGAGCCCAGAAAAATGAATAAAACTCATCGCAGGTTATTTGTCAGCACTTTTAGAGAAAAGACTGTGCTAATAAAAGTATTTATTTGGACAGACCTTGGGATCATCTCCAAACTGTGCAAACTGGATGTCATTTAGCAGGCTGCGAGCGGTCTTGATGATGTCTTTGCACTTCTTTGGAGTTTCCTCCACTTTGCCCGCCAGGAAAAGACAGCATCCTCCTGTCACCTGCAGGCACGTGCACCAGGTTAGGAACCACGCTGTACAACACATGTACAAATTATGCTATGGAAGACTTAATAACATGAATATGGAGATATTTCACCATACACCCACCAGGAATTCCATACTTACATATCTAGGAAACTGCTTGAAGGAGTGGAACATGTAGAAGCGGTGGAAGTAAACAATCCCGGTAGCCAGTGTGTCATAGTGCCTGTAACCGTAGAGGTTAAGAAGTCTGACGGAGGAGTTTCAACATTTGAACAGTTGTTATTTATCAGTCAGTGAAGAAAGGGAGGAGGAAAAACCCTGTCTACGAAAAAACTGTTCACATGTGGACGGGTGTTTAACAGAGCCCCCCCACCTCACACCAGTGGTGTAAAGTAACTGAGTACATTTACTCAAAAGTACTGTACTTAAGTACAATTTTGAGATACTTTTACTTTACCTGAGAATTTAAATGTTTTGCTACGTGGTTCTTCTACTCCTCTACAGTTCAGAGGTAAATGGTGTACTTTTCCTCCACTACATGTATTTAATACCTTTAGTTACTTCACAGATGTGGATGAATGATGTGAAATATAATCAAGTGTTAAATCAGACTTTAGTTCCACCTGGAGTAAATCCACAAGCTACCCTGCAGTATACAAGTCATTCAAACTAGCTGCACCTTTACCAGCTTTGAGAACACTTTCATGATCAATCATTATAAAACATATCATATATATTATTCTGAAATGGACCAATCTGCACAACGACTACTTTTACTGTCGCTACTTTAACTATATTTTGATGATAATACTTTTGTACTTTTCTTGAGTAACATTTTGAATGCAGGACTTTTACTGTAACAGAGTATTCCTACACTCTGGTACTTAAGTACAATATTTGAGTACTTCTCCCACCTCTCCCACACTATCTAACTTTATAATGCCCTTTAATCAATACAACTAATAGTATTGCTAGTCTCTTTGTCTATATTGCTGCTGATGGGGATCTGCAATATAACTAAAAATACAACTTTGTCAAATGATACATTGCTTTACTCTGTAAGTGTGTGTATTGAAAGCCACAAACTGTAAGCACAATGCAAGCCAGTATCAAGAACCACCCAATGAAATGTATGTGACATACTGAGTAATAGTATATAGCTGATGGTATGATTTAAACAACTCGTATCTGTCTATTTAGTAGGTGCTAGGTTCTCCTACTTTAACTATAATTGCCACATAAGGATACAGTCCGAGCCGTGTGCCCACATCAAAGATGAAGCGAGCCCCCTCTCTGCGGTACCCGGCCTCAGTGGCAGGGTCCAGCCCGTCGGACTGGGACGGGGTGTGGGCCAAGTCCTTCTTGTCCCAGTACCAGCATGGTTTGATGTGTTCCAGGGTGGCCGGGTCCTTCCTGTCCCAGAATAACAGGGGCGTGAAGAGGTCCAGGGTGGACAGATCCTTTCGGTCCCGCTCACTGCAGGACTTCAGGCTCGGATTGAATATTCTTCGTGTAATTGTGTGAGAGAAAACAGCATCTAACCTGCTAGCCACAGCTATGGCCAGTTGGCGGACGACAGATGCTAGAAGCTGCTGTTAACACATCTACTGTCCGGCAATGGAAGTACCGAACCTATTACTCATAACACGACCCACTGTGTTGAACCTAATGGCTGCTGCCTTTACACAATAATGACAGTAGTAAACACCTGTGAAATGTCTACCAGAGAAATCCCATTGTTGTATAAAAAGTTGAATATCCGACCTTATTCCTTTGTGGGTTTAGTTCTGATGCAAGCGAACCAATCCATCCAAACAAAGACCAGCGGAATACACTGAGAAAGATTAGTGAATGACACGTCTTTCAACCAATCATCGAAGCTCAAACATGACCATTTATGGTTATTTTAATCAGTCTAAAAGTATTCGTCCAATTGTAATGCGCAGGGGGAGGGAAATAGCAAAACATTTACATAGATCAGCATTTCAACCAGTCAATGCCATGTTCCGCGAGCTTGCTTCCTTACGTTACTTACCCTACAACCAATGAGAATGCCAGAATGCTCTGACGTAGATGTGGGCGTAGTTTACACTACTCCAATCACACGCGCGATATAGTCAAGGTTGGGTTCATTGCAGGAACAGAGGAACTACTGCTGTCACTTAAAAAAAGGTATGACTGAATTTTAGAAATAGCTTTTGGTTTGGTTAAGTATAGTCCAGACTTGGTGTTGAGTGTTATTCTGTAATGACGCGTGCATATTGTATGGAGGCAGTTGTATTTTAGCAGACATGGCTAACTAGCCAGCCAATCCAGTAGATTAGCCCCTTCTAAAACTCAGGCTGATCCTTGTATCACTTGACAGCTGAGCAGCTAACAGCTAACAGCTAGCCTGCTTCAGACAGCCAGTGTACGGTACCCGCCTCGCTCTGCGCTCCAATTGCGGCTCTGCTCGGATGGGCGTGATTCCTCAATGCTAATGCTAGCTGCTGGCCTAGTAGAAAAGCTATAAATGACCCGAGGTGCTAACTTGTAACATTAGTAAACCTAACTCTAAGTTGGAGGATAAACCATGGTAATACGTCCGAAATAAAGCCCGGACAAAAGGCGTTACTTTGCTTAAGTTTTTAGTTTGCTGACATGTGAAGTTAGCTATGTGAGGCTTGCCCTGGAGGGCTGTAACGGTGTCATGGAGGAGGTCTGAGAGCTGTTCTTACTGCTGTTTGTCCCGCAAGTCTATCAATCTTTAGCTCTTTTATCTCGCTGAGTCTTGTACAGGAACACACGACAATATCAAAACATTCTAAAGACATTATTTGTATTTGCTTAGATGATTTTACAGGTTTCAGAAAAAAAATAAAGATGGTTTTGCAATGTATCCATGGCTGTCTTCTAAAAACGTATTCATTGCGGATTTTCTCCTACAAAATAGTACTAACATTGTTATCTTTAATTACGCCATACTACCACCGTTTGAATTGGGTTTTCCAGCTTTTACTCACAGACGGTGTAATTCATTTTGCATAAAAATAGGTAAAGCTGCATGTATCAACATTTTCATATTAACTATAGTTAGAATATTTAAGTGTAATCTTAAAGCTAGAAGTGGAGATTTTTAGCCCCTTTAGCTCTTTAGTTTTATGTCCGGCAATCTTTGTTCTCAATCTGAATCAGAGGCAGCTTCTCAGAGTGAAATACACTTAGATTATTTTACTGTCACCAAATCAAATTACTATTTGCACTATTGCATTTTCTTTCTGTTCAAGTGTCTTACAAAGAAACAGCCAGCCTAACTACCTCTTGCACCCTAACCCTCCACACTTCCACTCCACGTATGTGTGGAGGGTCTGCCACATAAAGTGCTGTTCCAATTCAACTATTGGGGAGGGGAGTGGGTTATCAAGCCCTCCAAAAGGATCTGCATCAGTCCTGACTTCTAGTGATGGGAATTATGGCTCTTTGAAGGGAGCCGGATCTTATGGCTCCGTTCCTTTCAAAGAGCCGTTCAAAAGAGCCGTTTTTTAAAAAAGGGGGCGGGGTTACTAGGTTTATCTGCGAAATAATCACCAGGATAATGATTGACTGCATTGCCAGACCTAATGTCAATAATCTGCATTGTAAACATGACACAAGGTGGCGCCATATCCATGTCATTCATGTCAGTGAATGTACTTTGAATTTACCCTCTGCATGTGTTAAGTAAATAAAGTTGCCTTGCCTTGAATGAAATTCACGCAACTCTTAATATTAGTAGTGTGTTTTTAAGTGGCGATGGAGATTATTTGTTGACCCTGCTTTAAAGGATATTTTGCCTTTATCACTGCCTGGGTTTTGGTTGAAGTGCATCCAAATGCTGCTGCGTTTTCGCGTTTGGCTCATTTTCCATCCGAAAAACACGTCGTCTATCTGTCCAGTACCACTTGTTATGACTTCTCTCTCTCGCGTATTCCGTTAAGACCCACCCCACCTAACTCCTCGTGCTGAAACCTACCAATCAGAGTAGGGGCGGGTCTTCACAGAATACGTTTGGGGAACAAAATCAAGCTTTTTAAAAGGCGAGTGAATTTTGGCAGGCAGTGAGTGCGGACCAACTTTGATTGAACGATAAGAAGAACGGCTCTCACCAAGTACGACTCGGTTCCCCTCGTTCGTACCAAAGAGCCGTTCAAAAGAATCGGCTCGTTCGCGACCGACACATCACTACTGACTTCACCTGCTGCCCTACCTGACCGACCAACACTGTGTGTGTCCGTCAGGAAACACGCTGTTAATACAAAAATACCAACACATTTAACAATATACCTTCCTAAAATAAACAGTACCTATCAATATTTACATCCCCATCAACCCGTATTAGAACACTGTGCTGGCAGTAGGCTGTTCCTGGGTCCGACCTCATCAGCGCACTGTTCCTTCTTGCTGTAGCCTACTTAATGTTCAACAGTTGAAGAATGACTCATCTGGTTTAAATAAAGAAAAAGGGTCATTATGTGTTGTTTAAAAGGTCAAAGGTGATATTAGACACACTTGATGTAGTATCCCAGAGCTGAGTACACTTGCTAGCAAAAATATCAGTTTTTGTATTATGTGTGCCAAATAGAGCAGCAAGCAATACTACCAAAATGTAACAGAACTCATTGAGTACACTAAACCAACATCCACCTGATATTGGTTATTGTGAAAATGCTGTAGTGTTTTCTGAAATGCTGTGGCGTTTTCTGAAATGCTGTAGTGTTTTCTGAAATGCTGTGGCGTTTTCTGAAATGCTGTAGTGTTTTCTGAAATGCTGTGGCGTTTTCTGAAATGCTGTAGTGTTTTCTGAAATGCTGTGGCGTTTTCTGAAATGCTGTAGTGTTTCTGAAATGCTGTGGTGTTTTCTGAAATGCTGTAGTGTTTTGTGAAATGCTGTTGTGTTTTCTGAAATGCTGCGGTGTTTTGTGAAATGCTGTAGTGTTTTGTGAAATGCTGTAGTGTTTTCTGAAATGCTGTAGTGTTTTCTGAAATGCTGTGGCGTTTTCTGAAATGCTGTAGTGTTTTCTGAAATGCTGTGGTGTTTTGTGAAATGCTGCGGTGTTTTGTGAAATGCTGCGGTGTTTTGTGAAATGCTGTAGTGTTTTCTGAAATGCTGTAGCGTTTTCTGAAATGCTGTGGTGTTTGATGAAATGCTGCGGTGTTTTGTGAAATGCTGCGGTGTTTTCTGAAATGCTGCGGTGTTTTGTGAAATGCTGCGGTGTTTTCTGAAATGCTGTGGCGTTTTCTGAAATGCTGTAGCGTTTTCTGAAATGCTGTAGTGTTTTCTGAAATGCTGCGGTGTTTTGTGAAATGCTGTAGCGTTTTCTGAAATGCTGTAGTGTTTTCTGAAATGCTGTAGCGTTTTCTGAAATGCTGTGGCGTTTTCTGAAATGCTGTAGTGTTTTCTGAAATGCTGTTGTGTTTTTTAAAATGCTGTAGTGTTTTCTGAAATGCTGTTGTGTTTTCTGAAATGCTGTAGTGTTTTCTGAAATGCTGTAGTGTTTTCTGAAATTCTGTGGTGTTTTCTGAAATGCTGCGGTGTTTTGTGAAATGCTGCAGTGTTTTCTGAAATGCTGTAGCGTTTTCTGAAATGCTGTGGCGTTTTCTGAAATGCTGTAGTGTTTTCTGAAATGCTGTTGTGTTTTTTAAAATGCTGTAGTGTTTTCTGAAATGCTGTTGTGTTTTCTGAAATGCTGTAGTGTTTTCTGAAATGCTGTAGTGTTTTCTGAAATTCTGTGGTGTTTTCTGAAATGCTGCGGTGTTTTCTGAAATGCTGCGGTGTTTTGTGAAATGCTGCGGTGTTTTCTGAAATGCTGTAGTGTTTTTCTGAAATGCTGTAGTGTTTTCTGAAATGCTGCGGTGTTTTGTGAAATGCTGCGGTGTTTTCTGAAATGCTGCGGTGTTTTCTGAAATGCTGTAGTGTTTTCTGAAATGCTGTGGCGTTTTCTGAAATGCTGTAGTGTTTTCTGAAATGCTGTAGTGTTTTCTGAAATGCTGTGGCGTTTTCTGAAATGCTGTGGCGTTTTCTGAAATGCTGTGGCGTTTTCTGAAATGCTGTAGTGTTTTCTGAAATGCTGCGGCGTTTTGTGAAATGCTGTGGTGTTTTCTGAAATGCTGTAGTGTTTTCTGAAATGCTGTAGTGTTTTCTGAAATGCTGTGGCGTTTTCTGAAATGCTGTAGTGTTTTCTGAAATGCTGTTGTGTTTTCTGAAATGCTGTAGTGTTTTCTGAAATGCTGCAGTGTTTTCTGAAATGCTGTAGTGTTTTCTGAAATGCTGTAGTGTTTTGTGAAATGCTGTTGTGTTTTCTGAAATGCTGCGGTGTTTTGTGAAATGCTGTAGTGTTTTGTGAAATGCTGTAGTGTTTTCTGAAATGCTGTAGTGTTTTCTGAAATGCTGTGGCGTTTTCTGAAATGCTGTAGTGTTTTCTGAAATGCTGTGGTGTTTTGTGAAATGCTGCGGTGTTTTGTGAAATGCTGCGGTGTTTTGTGAAATGCTGTAGTGTTTTCTGAAATGCTGTAGCGTTTTCTGAAATGCTGTGGTGTTTGATGAAATGCTGCGGTGTTTTGTGAAATGCTGCGGTGTTTTCTGAAATGCTGCGGTGTTTTGTGAAATGCTGCGGTGTTTTCTGAAATGCTGTGGCGTTTTCTGAAATGCTGTAGCGTTTTCTGAAATGCTGTAGTGTTTTCTGAAATGCTGCGGTGTTTTGTGAAATGCTGTAGCGTTTTCTGAAATGCTGTAGTGTTTTCTGAAATGCTGTAGCGTTTTCTGAAATGCTGTGGCGTTTTCTGAAATGCTGTAGTGTTTTCTGAA